ATTCTCCTGTCCTTCATGTTCTACAGCACTGCCCCCTGCCCAATCTTCATGCCACCCTGATTGCAAGCTGACAAGTCTCACTGCAACAGAAATTTCTATCCAGAAAGGGATGTCCAGGTCCACTATAGACTATAGCCCAATGAATGGTGCAATAACCATTGCTTTCAGGAAACATTCAGTTCAGCAGAACACAGTGTTGCAAAACTCAAATCATTGCCTAGAATTTGCTGTAATGAAACACAAATATTTAGATATTAAATAAGTCATAGTCTGTCAGAGTTTGATGGAATTTAAGAACCATTTTGTACCACCTCTTCTTTTTATTGAAAGGCAAAGTGATTAAATGTCTTGACCAAGATCATATAGTGAGTTTTTGGTAGAGCCCGGTGCTATAACCCCTACCCAAACATGCCTCCCACATTCCCATACATGCCTGTGATATAAAACATTTGCTTAGGGAAGTGTTCCCCAAATCACAGGATGCTCACCCCAGGAGTAGTGCACTAAGATGATTTTAGGTGGTTCATGAGATTATTTTAGGTGATAGCACTAAAAATCATTGACTCTAACTGTGAGAAAGTTACTACTTTTTGGCCTTAGCTCAGGCTTCTATAACATGTTGCCATAGGCTGGGTGGCTTAAACAATAGGCATTTATTTCTGCCAATTGTGAAGGCTGGGAAATCCAAGATCAAGGTACTTGATGAAGGGCTCTTTCTGGTTTATATACAGCATCTTCTCTATTTATGCTCACATGGCCATTCCTTGGTATGTGCACATGAAGAGTGATAGAGTAAGAAACTCACAGAGAGATCTTTGTCTTCTAACAAGGGCACTAATCCCATCATGAGGGCTCCATCCTAATGACCTAGTCTAAACCTAATTATCTCCCATTGGCCCCTCCTACAAATATTATCACACTGGGGGTTAAGGCTTCAGCATATGATTTTGAGGGAAACACAAACATTCAGCACTTAATTTATTTCAACCCTTTCAGTTCTAATCACACCCAGGATAAATCACACCCAAGATCCAACAGTGCTAACATATCTTTAAGACTTCCCTATCACTAGCAATATCCCTTTTAAGCAAAGGTAGAGTAAGTCTTAGGCTTAGAGGCTTTAGCAGACAAAACATTTGAGAGTGCT